ACAGATATTATGGTAATGTTTCAGTAATGTTGGAGGAGATACAGAGGGAATACAAATCCAAGTATATAGTTTATTGCAATGTATGGGGAAGAATCAAGGGGAATTACAGAAATATGTTGTGAAGTCAGTATGAACTTGTCATGAAGTCAGCATGAAGTTGGTGTGAAGTTGGTGTAAACTTGTCGTGAACTTGGCATGAACTTGGCATGAATTTGTTGTGAAGTTGACATAAACTTGTCCTGAACTTGTCCTGAACTTGTCCTAAACTTGTCATGAAGTGAAGTTGGCATGAAGTCAGTATGAAGTGGGCATGAACTTTTCATGAAGTTGGCATGAAGTCAGCATGAAGTGGGCATGAACTTGTCATGAAGTCAGCATGAAGTGGGCATGAACTTGGCATGAACTTGTCATGAAGTTGGCATGAAGTGGGCATGAACTTGTCATGAAGGGAAGTTGGCATGAAGTCAGCCTGAAGTGGGCATGAACTTGGCATGAACTCATTGTGAAGTCAGCATGAAGTGGGCATGAACAGCATGAACTTGTTGTGAAGTCAACATGAACTTGTCATGAAGTTGGCATGAACTCATTGTGAAGTCAGCATGAAGTGGGCATGAACTTGGCATGAACTTGTTGTGAAGTCAGCATGAAGTGGACATGAACTTTTCATGAAGTTGGCATGAAGTGGGCATGAACTTGTCATGAAGTCAGCATGAACTTGTTGTGAACCTGGCATGAACTTGTCATGAACTTGTGGGGAAGTCAGCATGAACTTGGCATGAAGTCAGCATGAATGAAGTTGGCATGAACTTGACATGAACTGGTCATGAACTGGTCATGAAATTGGCATGCAGTCAGCATGGTGAACTGGTCATGAACTTGTCATGAAGTCAAATTTTGTTCAGAGCATTGATTCATTAATTTCAATTGATACAAGTTCATGCCCACTTCACAACAAGTTCATGCCCACTTCATGACAAGTTCATGCCAACTTCATGGCAAGTTCATGGCAAGTTCATGCTGACTTCATGACAAGTTCATGCCCACTTCATGCCAACTTCATGACAAGTTCATGCCCACTTCATGCTGACTTCATGCTGACTTAACAACAAGTTCATGCCAAGTTCATACCCACTTCATGCTGACTTCATGCCAACTTCACAACAAATTCATGCCAAGTTCATGCCAAGTTCACGACAAGTTTACACCAACTTCACACCAACTTCATGCTGACTTCATGACAAGTTCATACTGACTTCACAACATATTTCTGTAATTCCCCTTGATTCTTCCCCATACATTGCAATAAACTATATACTTGGATTTGTATTCCCTCTGTATCTCCTCCAACATTACTGAAACATTACCATAATATCTGTGTGACTGATAGTCACATAGTAATTTTCTTGTAGTTATCAGTACAATACAATCTAGCAATATACAGAGTAATTCTGTATCAATGACCAAAACATTACAAAAACATTACAGTATTATATTACCTATTGAAATGCATGTGAATTACAAGGTGGCCCTATTGTATATATCACCTTGCTTTACAGAAGAATTTCAAAGACATTACATATCCCATAATTTCCTGAAATGCATGTGGATTATATGATTCACTTATTGTATTTCCATGTACCATCATTGTGTTTTGTAGAAGAATTACAGAGAGCCTTTCTGAAATCTATCCTGTATTTCATACTGAAAAAACTTCAAGGTGTTACAGGATGACATATGTGACTGCATGTCACCCTGTATTTTCCATGAAATACAATACTATCTGTTATGTATTTCCTATGTAATCCACTTGAATTTACACATGAATTACAGAAATGGCTACTTGATTTTTTCTTGTGTATTTCCTATTGAAATGCAAAGACATTACAGGCAGAATTACTATGACTATTTGTCACACTGTAATGTTCCCTGTATATCTTCATGATTTACAGAGGTCATATAGGATGTCAAAACAAAAGTGGGTGTTCTGTATTTTTTTCTGTAATGTTTGAGGAAATACATACTGAAATCTATAGGATAATTCCCCTGTAATTTCACTGAAATGTTGATGATTTACAGTGATATGCACCCAGTGTGATGTATAATCCACCGAAGCGAAGATCGTGACGCGTCGAACGCGCCGATCCCGAACATTCTCATGGTGGATTTGTCCGGCTTTCCTCAGTCATCTGCTTCGAATATCTTTCAGACGGGCAGGGTCGAGTTATAGAACCAGCAATTCCAAGTCTTTGATTGGGGACGCAAAGAAAAATCTAATCATACAAACTTCTGGGTTACACTGGTATTGTGGATGCCATGATTACTACGACCCAAGTTTCTTCAGCTCATCATACGCCGCATATTCCCATTCAGAGTTTAGACTTGTTACTGTTGGTTCCCCTGGAGGTAGAATTTGAGTGGCAAAGTATCCACAAACTTCGCTGGTTGGGTCAATCCACCTAAAACCGAATTAGAACTCGAATTCGACGCATTTCGCTCAAAGAGACGAACCAGAAGAGATTTGGATATCCTGCCCAAGACAGAGTGCCCCTTTTTCGTTTACCCTCCACGTCATGCATGGCGAGCAAGCCTCCGAGTCCCCAATTGACTTCAGTATCAAAAGGCGTCCCACACATCATTGAATTCCTCAAAATAGACGGTTTCGTCTGAATATACTCCACCAACTGTTTCGGATTCTTCAACTGTGGCTCGAACATCATGTCCCTCGTCTCCGGTTTCAGTACTTTTCCATCATTCTTCAGAAGCGACTCCAGTAACTTGATATAATCCGTAGGCTGGAGGAACAGCCCTCCTCCCCCTCCATCATACTCTCCTGGGTATACGCCTACTTGGGATTCAACCATAGACCCATCTGGATTGCGTTGGTATAGTTGCACAAGGCGGTCCCTAATGTCCGTACGGTGTTGGATGCGGAATGCGGTGTTGGACATGCCTAGAGGAGACCAAATATGTTTCTCCATGTACTCGCCTAGGCAGGAAGAATTTGTGAGGCGTTCGACGACAACGCCGGCCCAGTCGATGGAGAAGCCGTAGTGCCAGTCTTCCCCTGGGTCGAAGAGGAGGGGAAAGAGACTTTGGTCTTGCTGGAAAACAGTTAATGGCCCGAATAAGACAGAGTTATTATCAAAACTCACTAGAGAATGTCCTTTGAGTACATGTTTCGTAGCCTGCATGTATTTTTGAATTTGTTCATGCATTATCCCATATGGCATTCCGGATGAGTGCGTAAGTAGATGCCTGAAAGTGCCTTAGCACAAGATAAAACAAAGATGTATTGTAAATACCAACCTCAAAGTCATCTTGGTCTTCGGTGGTCTAAGAATCGGCTCTCCGGTCTCCGCGTTGTAACCATCTAAAACCTTTACATCCTTCCACTCGTGTAAAACCCTCGTAATGTCCTCATCCAGATCAACTAGACCTTGCTCGACTACCTGTAGAGCTGCTACAGTCGTAATGAGCTTTGTACACGACGCAATCCAAAACGTCGAGTCAAAATCTACTGGTGCTGCGTCGGGCTTCGTCGATACGTAGCCGTACTTCTCTTTGATATCGAGTGTGCCTTTGAGAAAAGAACGATGAGCTACGCATGGATAAAATAAAAGCTGGCAACGCACCGGATCTGTTCTTTGCAAGAAGGATGACAGGTGGGATCGTTTGTTTCGACCTGTCGACTTCACCCGTGGCGTCTCGTAGTTTTTGTCTTAGCGCTTCCATCGTAGTCAAAGTAAAGCAGGGTAGATGTGACGTTGGGAGCTAGTGTAGTCATTGTTTTGACTTAACCTGCCTTTTTATCTGGAGCCCAAGAAACAAGATGGTGGAAGAAAGACAAGACTGCCGAACCGCCGGATCAGTTATATAAATGACGTTTGATTCAGTGCGTTTGTCCGCGTAGCCCGACAACTCCAAGGTCACTAGTGCTAACGTTTCTGTGATTTCTAGTAATTCAAGCAAGTTGCCCATCACTCGAAAGAGTCTTTTGTACATATTTCTGCAGACACATTCCTGGCCCTTGTTCGCCTCAAGCAGAACAAGTGACTTGACAGAAGCTTCTCTGACGGTACTGGGCGCTCTGGATGCGTGCTCGTTTCGTGTGTATCGGAAGTTCTACTCGGATACCCCGCTTTCGCCGTTGACGCGTCGAATTTGAAACGTCCGGCCGCAGGTTTCTCGAGCATTTGATTAATTTGCGCCACACCGCAAGTGGAGTCTTGTTCGCATTAATGCACAGTATAGGACTGATGGTGAGATCGTTGTACTTGCGCGCGCAAACCAACTTATCCCTGCAGAATCTAAACAGATTCGACAATCACCTCAGACCTAGTAGCAGGCGAGTACTAAAGAGTAGTATACTTGTTTATGCAGCAGGCCTTGCGGGCATCCATACCTTCCACCTCAAATAAAACAGGAAGCCGCGGCCATTCAAAAAGTGCTGTGAACAGACGCCTGAGTTCGAAGTATAGCAACACGTATTTACCTTGGTCTTACTTTTATTCTGAATGCTAGTGGTCTATTAATGGTCATTAGAATTCAAAGAGTGCTATATCCGCCCGTCGATTCTCATCGATATGTTCGTTCCGGAAGACGGCTAGAGGTACATGTTGGTCCAGAACATTGCGCATTCGTGCTTGCCTGGATCTGAATTTAATAGCTGTCAGAGGCTGTCTCGGTGTCATTTTTGACTTATGTTATTGTTCTCCTGGATAATTACCAGCTGTATAAGCACATAAAGCAAGCCTCCTTAGTGACCGTTCTAATGCATTCGCTCAGGCCATCGAAAGTATCCGTCTTCCTCCTTCTGCTATGGCATTCGAGAGAAATCTGGCCATCCTCCAGCGGAGAAGATATCTATTTGTCGCACGGAGCGATGATCCGGTTATTAAGATGGAGAAGTTTGCATATCGAGAAAATTGGCAGAAAACCAGCATAATAGCAAGGTGGATTTCACCATCTGTCGTGGTCTTGTCAAATCTACCTTCATCGAGGTCCGCGTAGCTAAGTGGTATAGCGTGAGATTGCAAGTCTGCAATATCTTAAGGTCCCGTGTTCGATCCACGGCGCGGACTGTGGCTTTTTTTTGACTTGGAATGCAAAGTGCCAAGCGAAAGTCTTGATTTTGAAGAGTGACGTAATCAGCTTTGGTTGTTTCACCGCGATGAGTGACGGGATTTTGTCCTCCTCACCCTCTTCTCACAAGTCTAGCTCCCCTGTGAGACGCAGAGGGAGCGCTAGTGCTAGTGTTGGTGAGGACAGACCCAGACTCTCCCCGACCCTTGCCCGCACCACTGCGTTCAACGACAATGACCTTCGGGAACGTCAACGGGAAATGGACCGCGACATGGCCATGGCCATGCAACGCTCCAGAGTTCGCAGAGATACTGTCTCTGACGATGTAGAGCCCATCGTGGATCTCCGAGACCATCTCAACCCAACACAAGATCCGACTCTTCTCGTAGGACACAATGACGAGTCTACGATAGCTTTACCGACCTATCAGCCCATACAATCACCCGTTCAACCCGTTCCATCCAGTTCTGTATTTGACTTTGCCCACATAGAAGAGTTTGCGTCCAAGGAACGTGCAGCATTGCAACAAACTCAGGCGGCTGCTAAATTTAGCATTCCCCCTCGAAATCAGCAAAGGCAGTTTACGGACGAGGTACATCGACCTCAGGCCGAACCCATTCAAGCCCCAGCAGAATCCGAACAGTCGCAGCCACAAATTGACCCTCCTCCCTCACATCCTACTCCTTCTCGCCGTCTCAGCGAATCCAATGCCTTACCTCGTCCTCGTCAAAGAAAAGGCATTGGAGGCAAATTAGCCATGTTCGAGTCCTCCAATGCCGGTGGTCACGAATCAAATGTCAATTCGTTCCTTGGGATCCCTCCACAAACCGGTCCTTCTGGTGCATTGATTAGCACCGCTTCTTCATTCGAAAATCTACCTACAGTATACAACTCGGGTGTCGTTTCGAAATACGGTTTGGGTGTACAAGATCAACCTATAGCAGGGACATCTGCCGCAGGAGGCATGCTCAATACAGGGCACGACAGGCCCTATAGATTTTCCTTCTATTCTAATGCTTTATCTGCAACTATTCATGCACGCAGTCTCCATGAGCTTCCGGCCGAGGGTCAGTCATTTGAAGAGTTGTTTACTGGTATCAAACCTGGTACTCAGGATCAGGAAGGGCTGGGCAAGGGTTCGAACGAATTTTCCACTCCCAAAGAGAAGGAACGTCCGTTATCTACGGGGGCTGGTAGGGGTTATTTCGCCTCCAATATGAAGCCCCGCAGATCAGCGCTGCTGGGAGGTGGAGCTTTCGGTGGTTTCACGGGAGGATTTGGGAGCTTGGAGGAAGAGGCAGAGGCGAATACGTGGTGGTTGGATGTCACTAGCCCAACCGATGAGGAGATGAAGATTTTGAGCAAGGTGAGTGCTGCAACTTATGATTCACCACTTCATATCCATGCGCTGTCTTAGGTCTTCAATATCCATCCCCTCACTTCGGAAGATATCCAAATGGAAGAAACTCGAGAAAAAATCGAGCTTTTCAGAAACTACTACTTTGTGTGTTTCCGCAGTTTTGATCAAGATCCATACAGTCCGACGCACTTGGAACCCCTCAACATGTACATCATCGTGTTCAGGGAAGGGATTGTCAGTGTACGTGTGGTTTATTTTTATCCAGTCTCTTTCCACCAAGACGTTCTTTTCCTTCTACTCAGTTCCACTTCCATCCAACTCCGCATCCTTCTTCTGTTCGCCGACGTATCAAACAACTCAAGGATTACATCTCAGTCACATCTGACTGGATTTCATACGCGTTGATTGACGACATTACGGATGCCTTTGGACCGTTGATTCAAAGTATAGAATATGAGGTCGATTCCATCGATGAGTTGGTGCTGATACTCAAGGGTAAGTTTTTGTGGTTATGAATAAAGAAGCACCTCATGATTTTTCTGACGTAGACACGACCTCTCAATCGGATATGCTCCGTCGCATCGGAACGTGCCGCAAAAAAGTCATGGGCCTTCTACGTCTAATGGGATCCAAGGCCGATGTCGTCAAGGGTTTAGCAAAGAGATGCAATGAAAACTGGCAGGTTGCGCCTACGAGCGAGATTGGGTTGTATTTGAGTGATATCCAGGTAAGCTGTTTTAGTAGAATAAAGATAAACTTTTAACTAATCATGCTCTAGGATCACTTGATAACAATGACCCAATCTCTAAACCACTATGAAAAAATCCTTTCCCGTTCCCATTCCAACTACCTCGCTCAGATCTCTATCGAAATGACAGAAGCCAACAATCAAATCAACGACGTCCTTTCGAAACTTACTGCTCTTGGTACAGTCCTCATCCCTATGAATTTGGTGACAGGTTTGTGGGGTATGAACGTTCATGTGCCAGGACAGGATTCGGAGGATGACACGGGGACGTTCTACTGGTTTGGTGGGATCGTGGCGGTTTTGGGTGTCTTTGCGATTGTTGGGGGGTATGGAACGTATAGGTTGTTGGTAAGGGGAAGGGATGCGGAAAATGGGAAGTAGGTAAGAGTTTTGTTAAGGGATGTAGTTCACTATTGGTCTCTTTGGTGGGTTTTACGGTCATAAATACGGAAAAATGGACTTAAAAAAGTCAACAATGCATCAAAATTCAAGAGTGTTGATAACACAGGCTGGAAAGAAAGTAATTTAGTTATACTTACAGTACTACGTATTTCATGCATACTCATGCAGTTAGATAAATAATGGCTTGCTTTCTCTCGATCTCGTGTACGTAAGAATCACCTCCATTCTCGGTCGCACCAAGATTCTTATCCAGTATGCTGACTATGTAAATTCGAGTCCCTTCTTCTTTGTTTGCTTGGGAGTGATACGCATCTGAACATTCCATGGATTCATTCCGAGACGAGTTGCGCCGTGCAACAGGCGAGACAAGTCGTGGAGAGCAAACGCTCCCTGGTGTTGTCGTAATTGCCGGGAATAAAGATGGTGAGTTTGAGCCATTCCAGGTCGTTCAAGAGACATTCACCTCCATCTTGCAGGTCCAATCTTTCACGAAACCTTTGGATTCCAATCACTGGACCCGAGTTCTCCGCCAGTTTCGAAAGAAAACACCTTCTGGATCGCGTCTTGTACCAAACTCATCACTGCCATCGCTGTTCTCCAAATCGTTGAACGTGGCAAGGTTGATTTGGATGAGGACGTTACAAAGATCATACCAGAATGGAAGGATCAGGAGGTATTGTTAGGATTTGATGAAGCCGGAAAGCCGATTGTGAAGAAGATGGAGGAAAAGATGACTTTGAGGTGAGGTTATTAGTTCCTCAGGGGAAGACGTATAATTTCATGGATATCCAGGCATTGCTTGACGCACACTGCGGGCATGTCGTATCAGTATGATATGAACCTACCCATTTCAAAGTATAAGAGAGCTATGGGTCTTCCTGATACGTCAGCTAGCCATCTCACACTGGTGGGTGCACTCAAACTGGGTACATATCGGTCCTTACGTTCTTCAGGCCGAACGTACCCTTTACCCTCTACTATCTGAACCAGAAACTGCCTGGGAATACTCTCCTGGAATGGACTGGGCCGGTGTCGTCGTCGAGCGGCTTTCTTCTCAACGTTTAGAAGAGTACATGTCCGAAAACATCTTCAAGCCTCTTGGGATGAATTCGACTACTTTCAGGATTAACGATCGCGTCGACGTCAAAGAAAAACTTATCGACCCTGTGACTAGAGAATATTCCGACCCGACTGTGCCAGGTAAACTCAAACCCTTCACGGAATACAGCTTGACCGGATCCTATTCATACGATGCTGGAGGTTCGGGGCTGTATCTTCCCCCTTCAGATTACGCCAAAGTACTCCAAGCACTCCTAAGGAACGATGGAACCCTCTTGAAACCAGAAACAGTCGAAATACTTCTTAAACCCCAACTTTCTCCAGAATTGGTCAAATCCTTTGTTGACAACGCAAGAAGCAAACCGACTGCAGGGTTGAGAGCTGCAATCTCGATGAATATTTTGGAGGTTGAAGAAACAGGGATGAATTTCGATTCTGGAGTGAATTGGGCGTTTGGTGGACTTTTAACCTTGGAGGATGTTCCTGGAAGAAGGAAAAAGAGGAGTTTGGCTTGGGGTGGTATGGCAAATCTGCAGGTAAGCATACGTCGAGAATTATTGATCAAGCCGTAACTAATGAACCTGTGACAATACTTTTCTCAAATACTCAGTGGGTTCGTATTTTATTTGTTTATGGCCTAATCGATGACAGACTAATAATTTTTGCAGTGGGTCGATCCAACAAGCAATGTTTACGGAATGTATGCAACTCAGCTACTACCAATTGGTGATATGCCTTCTGCTGTGATGCAGTCCAGATTTGAGAAGGCAGTCTACGAAGAGCTAGAATTGAAGTAGTTATGGAGTAGTCTTCTATGTACTATACAAGTGCCTTGCTCGAATCTTATCACCCTTGAGTACTCTTGTACCAGTTTAGCCAGCGGACGTTTGAAAATCCTCTAGAATCAAGGGTGTTTTCTCAGCATAACGATGGTCACAAAAGAACGACAGTATGTCCCTTCCTGGTAATCTCTTCAGTCATCTTATTTGTTTATAGGACGAGAAAGAAGATGTAAGTATCGGTTCTCTGTCTTTGATAATACATGACGACGTTCTTCAGTCCACCGCTTGCAGACCCCAGTTCCAGAATTTTTGATGCTAAAAGGCCTCCATTATAGCATTATAGGCATTGAACAATCTCATTTCATTTGTCTCATGTATAAACTGAGGTAGTAATGCTTCATCAAGTTCAACCAAGCCTCGTTCTACGCACTGCAAGGCCCATCACTTTCATACAAGAAGTGGCCCAATAGCGGTGTTCAAGTCCAGAGGAGCAAACTCTCGATACACTGCTTCCTCAAAATGAGAGAATAAATCAGTCGAAGGTATATCGCCAAACGGTTGGATTTGCGTAGCGTACAACCCGAAAACGTTACTGGTACGGTCGATCCACTAGAAAAACCTCAGATCCCGTCCAGAAGGTGCTAGGAA